GACGCCACGACATCCAACTGGACGTCCGAGATCATCCCAGATACCAACAACATCAAGCTGCGTTTCAAACGCTCTGACAGCTCCATTTGACAGCTCCATTGACAGCTTCCTTTAACAACCTCGCTTTGACAGTTCATCTGACAGCTCCATTTGACAGCTCCATTGACAGCTTCCTTTAACAACCTCGCTTTGACAGTTCATCTGACAGCTCCATTTGACAGCTCCATTGACAGCTTCCTTTAACAACCTCGCTTTGACAGTTCATCTGACAGCTCCATTTGACAGCTCCATTGACAGCTTCGTTTAACAACCTCGCCTTGACAGTTCATCTGACAGCTCCACTTGACAACTTCGTTTTACAGCTTCGCTCCATCTGACACAATTTGCACTCTCCCTGCGCGCCTCCAAGCTATGGCCTTTGTCCGCATTGCCTTTCTTCTCGCCGCCTTACCCTGGGTCCCGTCCACTTCATCGGACCACTGCACAGGATTGCAAACGGACTATCACTTCTTGGACTACCATGAGGTCGAGACGGGAAGGTCTAACCCTGATCGAATGGGGGACTTTGATTTCTGCCTTCCTGAGTCTCGGACCCTACTGCGCCATTCCCTAGTACCCCGACTCGCCGGAGACGAATATTGGGAACTCTTCATCCGAAACAAGGATTTACGCCGTATCGGGTCTGCCGCCCTCACTCTTGACCACTCCTCTTACCGGCTGACCTGCCAAAATGGGACTTATCTTCTTTACGAGAGTGGAGAGATCACACAAAACCCAAACTGGACCGAAGTCGAGATAGGAGGGGCCTCTCATGCTTATACAGACTCAAACCACCCCTCTGGAAACTTGATTTTCGGGTTCCAGTGCCTCCTCTCTACCCCAGAAACCCGGAAGCCTCAACTCCAGGGACTTTGCCTGCGACGGTTCTGCTGCTTATGGGACTTAGGGGTCACTCATGAGTGGAAAGGGGCTGAATATCTTGAAGGGTGGCACCATCCTATACACCCTTCGCGCTCCCCCTCATGGGACCACGTCGGACCCCTGAGATGCGGCGGCATCGCCAGGGATAGGCGACTATTGAACACCACCGACCCTCTCCACCCGGTCGGCACAGCACCTCGACAATTCGGCGCTGACTCTGCACTCCCAGGAGAAGACCTCCTTTCATCCTGGGAACAAAACTCCTATATTAAACTTCTCAGCCAGGTGGCAAAGGAGGCACCCTACCCGGACTGCTGGATTTGTGCTCACGCGCCCAGCCATCTCCAACAGAGTCTTCCACTGGTTCCAGTGCCGGTGACCCTGGAACAGTTCCGTTCCGGAAACGTTACTTCCTGGAACTTAACTGCGCTCAACTTGACACATCAATATCTCTATCTCACCGGCCCCACAAAGGGACCCCTTTGCCGCAGCTTCTCAGGGGAAGGAACCTTCATCGGATCCAGTACATGTACCAACACTCTTGAAATCCTACCAACTGGCCTGGTCACTGTCTCTAATACAAGGGATTCCCGGACTTTTCCTAACCTCACCGTCGCCTGGGCCACTGCCGTCGGACACCCCGTGGACTGGAAGCCCCAACCCACGGACACCATGCTGCTGCAAGCCTTTGCTTCAGGCAGAATGGAGTCTTACCTCAGCGGCCTATTCTGGGTGTGCGGACATCGCGCTTATACATGGGTGAGCCCACACATGTCCGGATCCTGCTTCGTCGGCTACATTGTTCCCGGAATTAGGATAATTCCACACCTACCTCCTGGAAGACAACGGAATAAAAGGGAGCAGAAGGAGCTGTCAGACCTGTCAGACGTTGCCGCGAATGGAGAGACCGTAGGCCGAGCACTTTTCCCTGCCTACGGTGCCGGTTCAAACCATGTGGATATTCTCCGACTCACTGACATCCTCCTTAAATTTATGCAGGAGGCGACCCAGATCACAGACTCTCTCATGTCAGAACTATCCGAGGTAAGACAGTTGAGCTTACAGACGAGGATTGCGACCGACTTCCTCTTGTCCAGTCAAGGAGGCACCTGTGCCTTAATAGGCACAGAGTGCTGCACATATGTGACTGACCAGACTTTAAATATAACCGGACATTTAAACAACATTCACGAGTTAGCAGGGAGGCTACACAATATCCAGCATGAGGGGCTATCCGATGTGGACTTGTGGGGATGGTTACCCAAGCTGGGATGGCTCCGACAGTTATTGAAAGTCATGCTGCTCCTCGTCTTGACCGCTGTTTTTTGTGTCTCTGTCTTATGTTGTACTGTGCACTGTATTAGTCCTTGCTGTTCCCTCTTCCGCCACTCTACTTCACCTAACTCCTTCTCTCTTCGAGCCTATTCCCGTTCCCAACACACTCCCACCTTCCCAGACTACGTACGGATGAGGCATTTGGGGAAGGGGAATACGAGATCACTGAAATTTAGTGTTCCGGTGGTGCGGAGAAAAGATTTGCAAGTTCCTTCAGAACTTTAATGCAAATCTATCTCCGAATGGGGGACTGATACGGACCGGAGGGGGGGGTACCTCTTTCCCCTTCCTCTCCCTTGAACGTCCGAGGCGATGACCTCGAGGGTACCCACTGTACACCCACCCTCAGTCCCCTCACCGTTGCACAAGCACCACACTTCTCCCACAACCCCCTTTCTTCTTCCTTCCACGAGCGAAATAAGCTCATATACATGAATATATTCCCCTATCTCTCCCTATGCCTATTTGCGCTCCATACTTAGAACGAGTAGACCGGGTGTCCCTGTATCCCCGCTTATTCCTATGCCTGCGTTTTAGCCAATCACGGCCATGCATTCAACCTGCAGAGGCGAGCTCAGGGAGCTACTGCACGCCTCATTTCACTTCTGACAAGCTGCTGACGGCCCCCCGCTGTGAGAACAATGGAATTGAAACTCCTGACCTCGTAAACCTGTCAAACTCTTGTTACAATGTATCCATTTTTGCAAGAATGGATACATTCTATTTCCGCTTTTGATCAGCACTACGGAATAGGCTGGAAGCTATCGGAACCTTTGGAAATTCATATAAAATCAACCACAACTCCGATTTCCTCGCTCTTGGTGTCGTTCAACTCAGTTTCCTCTGGACTCCATGATGCTACCCCGACTCCATAATCCCCTAGACGACAGGTCACGTACACAGGAACTCCTTAATCCTGTCAGATCGTTCTGCCCAGCCCTTCCTCCGGGCAATGCCAGGTGGCAGACGATGCATATCACCGACCCATTGTCCCGCCGCCACCGGTACTCAGGAAATGTATATTTATGCACATCCCTCGCTCTGCATATTTCCCCCTCCCTTACCCTAGATGTTAATTAGTGCAACCCCGCCTCTCTTTAATATATTCATGACGTGTGTAATGTAATCATGATGTAACCCATAAAACCCAGCCTTCCTATAATGTATTCATGACGTTTTCTTGCACTGTATTCTGGGACGTGGAGGGAACTTTTAAAAGTTTATGTCACCCCATTCTCGGGGTTCAATCTCATCTTGAACCTGTTGCGCAATAAACTTGGATCTTCGCATTTTGCTCCTGTGTCCGGCTGAGCTTCCTTTTCCTCCGCAAGGACCCGCGGACTCTGTCCGACGAGCTGGGTGGCAGGGCAAATACGCACCCAGATTTACCGTAACAATTTCAATGGGTCTCCTCTTGAGTAGAACTTAGTTGGTATTCATAGGGACCATTAGACTGGCTACTTGGGGGTTCCATAATGTCCTCGAGTGCAGCAGAAATAGAGATGGGGCCACACAGGAACACTTTACTGGACCTGCTGAAACACCTGCTCCACTGGGCTCTTCCATCAACTACAGTGGTACCTCGGGTTAAGAACTTAATTCGTTCTGGAGGTCCATTCTTAACCTGAAACTGTTCTTAATCTGAAGCACCACTTTAGCTAATGGGACCTCCCGCTGCCGCCGCACCGCCGGAACACGATTTCTGTTCTCATCCTAAAGCAAAGTTCTTAACCTGAGGTACTATTTCTGGGTTAGCGGAGTCTGTAACCTGAAGCGTCTGTAACCTGAAGCATCAGTAACCCGAGGTACCACTGTATTTATTACCTGGCAGCAGTGATAACATCAGGCTGCAGTACAGGGAGCGGTGGGAAGCAGGGGCACTTATTATTATTATTATTATTATTATTATTATTAGAATTTATATACCGCCTTATACCCGGGGGTCTCGGGGAGGTTCACAGAACAAAATCAAGATATAAAACCACAAAATACATAATAAAAATAAAAACGACAACCCAATAACTCCCCCCCAAAAACACACTCCACATTTTAAAAGGGCTTAGGATGACATTCAAATCAAGCAAAGGTCTGGTTAAAAAGGAACGTTTTTGCCTGGTGCCTAAAAGTGTATAATGAAGGCACCAGGTGAACTTCCCTGGGGAGAGCATTCCACAGATGGGGAGCCACTGCAGAGAAGGCCCGTTTTTCTGTTACCACCCTCCAGACCTCTCAAGGAGGAGGCACACAAACAAGGGCCTCAGAAGATGATCTTGGGGTCTGGGTAGGTTCATATGGAAAGAGTATTCTTAAGGTATTGCATTCCTGAGCCATTTAAGGCCTTATAGGTCAAAACCAGCACTTTGAATTTACCCCAGAAACTAATTGGCAGCCAGCGCAGCCAGTGAGCAATCTGGCTGCTGAATTCTGCACTTCTCTGAGAAGCCAGATCCATTTGGCTCTTCCTTTCCATTTTAGCTTATCATTATAAGAACTGTCATGTGCCTGGGTTTGTTTGCTCTCCTCCTCCCTCCTCCTCCCTTTCCCCACCTTTCCTTTTGTGCTGTTTCTTTTAGAGTGTAAGCTGTGCGTAGGGACAATCTTTGTTTTGCTTCATGGCATGTAAGCTGGCCCAGAAGTCTTTTTTTGCTTTGACGATAATGTGCTTCTGTTAATAAATGTTTGATGGAACGGTTGATAAAATGAATATATGTTGCTGTATGGAACAAAACACCAGTTGTACTTACCTCTGTTCCATAAGGCAGTCTGGAGATCACTTCAGGTGCCATCCAGTAGGGGGTTCCAACAAGTGATTTCCGTTTTGGAACGTCTTTTGAAACCTGGGCACAGAATCCAAAATCTGACAATTTTATCTGAAATGGGGAAAAACCCAAATAAATAACACATCAGATAAATAATCCAGTGAGCAGTGTTCAGACATATTTAGCAGATGCCCATCATTTTAGCTGTACAGTATTGATAATTCTCTCTTAAAACTAAGCAAGGCTCTGCTTTGGTAAGTGATGGAATTGCATATTTCCCAAAGTAGCCAAGATAAAGCTTACTGGGGAATGTGCATGAAGGTGTTAATACCATAGAGTAAGCTGTCCATCCAGACTTGGCTATGTCCACTTCCCCTCACCTTGGGAGGAACTAGGTAATCAAGCCTAGGAATATCTAGGAAAATCCTCAATGATACACTGGGCAATAGATATCGGTCATAATATAGATATGGAAGCATGGGAACGATTGTGGAATATGGATATAAAATTAACAGCATGTTGTGGTTTAAGAGAAAATTGTATGAAAATTATATATCATTGGTATCTAACACTAAGTAAACTGACAAAAATGTATAAATCTAAATCAAACAAATGTTGGAAATGTAAAGAGAAAGAAGGTTGTTTTTACCATATGTGGTGGCCTTGTAGTAAGGTTAAAGCTTACTGGGAAATGATATATAATGAATTGAAAAGGATGTTCAAAGTAGCCTTTGTATATATAAAAAAACCCAGAAGCTTTTCTTTTGGGAATTATAGGGCAGAACTACCTAAATTATAAGAAATTTATTGATGTATGCTACTACAGCAGCAATAATGCTACTTGCCCCAAAGTGGAAAGAAGTAGAAGTCCCAGTAAAGGAAGAATGGATACAAAAACTTATGGAATATGCAGAAATGGTACTGGAAGAATAAGAAATCAAGAGAACAAACTTTTTAAATAAAAGAATGGAAATGGTTTATTGAATGTTTACAGATAAATTGCAAACCGATAAAAACATTGGCAGGATTATTGGAATAACCTGCAGTTTCATAAGAGCATATATTTAAAGTAGATAATTAAATGAGCCAATTAAATGAATCTGAATATGCAGAAGATACTTTTTATAAAATAAATTCAAGGAACCGCAGAAAGAGGGGGAAGGAAGTGAAGCTCTGAAATATTAAATTGATTGTAAAATTAATGAAAAGTATAAAGCTGAAAAGTACAATTTTTTGGGGGGGGGAAACCAACAGCACAAAGTAATCAAGATAAGGGGAAATGAATAAGGTTCATCCAGGGATGTGCTGAATGAAGACCGTTGGTTAGGCTGGGAGGGAATCTTGTCTGAAATCCTGGAAAGCAGTGTAGACAATGCAGAGCTAGATGGACCAATGGTAATACAGTAAGAAATTCATTTTGCAAGCACCTCCATCGTGTCTTGAGCCTTTTTCTCTTGGCTTTAATATACTCTAATTACAATAGACATAGCATCTTAAAAAGTAGAGACATCACCTTGCCAACAAAGGTGCGTATAGTAAAAGCTATGGTTTTCCCAGTAGTGATGTATTGAAGTGAGAGCTGGACCATCAAGAAGGCTGATCGCTGAAAAATTGATGCTTTTGAATTGTGGTGCTGGAGGAGACTCTTGAGAGTCCCATGGACTGCAAGAAGATCAAACCTCTCCATTCTGAAGGAAATCAGCCCTGAGTGCTCACTGGAAGGACAGATCCTGAAGCTGAGGCTCCAAGACTTTGGCCACCTCATGAGAAGAGAAGAGTCCCTGGAAAAGACCCTGATGTTGGGAAAGATGGAGGGCACAAGGAGAAGGGGACGACAGAGGACGAGATGGTTGGATAGTGTTCTCAAAGCTACAAAAATGAGCCTGACCAAACTGTGGGAGGCAGTGGAAGACAGGAGTGCCTGGCGCGCTCTGGTCTGTGGGGTCACGAAGAGTCGGATACGACTAAACGACTAAACAACAACGACAACACAATAGACATTATGTAAGCTCGCACAGCAGTTTGGCCAGCTCTGCTAGCAAAACAACGATGTACTTAGAGCAAAATGAGGAACTTTTCTTTTTATGAATTCATAGCAGAACCAGTTTTTTAGAATGTTATTGTCCATCCAGATAGCAGATAGCACCTATTGTGATGCCCTGGCTTGTGATCGAACCCCAAGTCTTTGGGTTTGCATGTCAGAAACAGGAAAGGCAACACACCAGGTTTCCAGCTTATTTGTCATGTCAGGCTACAGTATGGGATCCAGAACAGAAAGTTGAAGGAAGAGTTAATAAGGAAGCTGCATAAATGGTTGCAATCGCAGAGACCAGCGTTTTATTATAAGCGTTGTCTGTCTGGTTTTTTGGCATCGGTGCGTACGTTACTTTTAATCAAGTTCTTCTTGCCCATTTCTCCTACCCCACGAGTTGAAAAAAAGAAAAGCGAAAGAAAGAATGGTTGCTATTTGTAAAACAAAGGCACCCATAAGCACAAGCTTCTTTTTATACCATTACAGAATAGATGCAGCCAAGGCAAGTTTTGGGTGCCAGATCCATTTCCCTTGCTGTAGGAGCGCAAAAAGGTTTTTGCATGTCGATTGCTCCTCTGAATAGATAAAAGAGATGCTCCTTTTTAAAAAAGAAGAGGAGGAGGAGGAAAAATAAAAGGATTATACAACCTCTCCTGACAAAATGTGCATTGTAGAGAGTAATAGGCATAATGAGGCTTTGTATGCATATCTACAAAGCAGAGGGGAGATGGCTTTTCATCAGCACCTATTTTTTTAAAAAAAGCAAAACCGAAGAACATCTATTCATGATGATGGACATAATTTTCTTTCCTTTTTGATGTTGGTCCATCACTCTCTCTCAGAAACTCTGCAAGCGGTCAACTCTATTGCAACTGAGCAGCGGGTTTGTCAGTGATTGAGGGTGTGCACGGTCAACTTGAAACCCTGTGAAGTCAATAGGATTTTTGTGGGATGTAACATCACTGAAGCAGTCAGATACAACATTTCCTGTTTGCTCAGACTGGATACACAGGAGAGTGTTGCTCCAGACAGGGAGGATTTCCTGTCACACCTGATCTGGAGCATCCTTCCCCTGCATGTGATCAGGTAGATGGGCATGATGATCCTGGCTGACCCTATAAAGGGGCTAGTCACGCAGCCATCTTCCTCTTCCTCTCTTCCTTCTTACTCTTACCCTTGATGCCTTTTGCTGTCTGTTGGCTCTCAGCCAGCAGCATATGGGCTCACCCCCAACAGAGGATGAACCCACACTTTTCACTGTAATGGTAACTGCAAGCTAAAGCCTGCCTTCAGAACCATACGGTGAACTGAACTGATAAGTACGGTAAACCTTATCATGACTTTTAAAAGAAGACTGTTGTGTCATTATTGTTTTTAAGAGGGAACTAAAGCTGGACCACAAAGAAGGCTGATCGCCAAAGAATTGGTGCTTTTGAATTCTGGTGCTGGAGAAGACTCTTGAGAGTCCCATGGACTGCAAGAAGATCAAACCTATCCATTCTGAAGGAAATCAGCCCTGAGTGCTCACTGGAAGGACAGATCCTCCAATACTTTGGCCACCTCATGAGAAGAGAAGACTCCCTAGAAAAGACCCTGATGTTGAAAAAGATTGAGGGCTGAAGGAGAAGGGGATGACAGAGGACGAGATGGTTGGACAGTGTTCTCAAAGCTACCAGCATGAGTTCGACTAAACTGTGGGAGGCAGTGGAAGACAGAAGTGCCTGGCGTGCTCTGGTCCATGGGGTCACGAAGAGTCGGACACGACTAAACGACTAAACAGCAACAACAAAAGGGGATTTACCAGCAACAATCCAATCTGGACAAGCCAGACTGGATTGCTTAACTCAAATGATTCTCATGAATCCATCAACTAGCTTCCTACAACGTACAAGGGAATGTGCTCAGATACTAGCTCACTAGTGTGAGTGAGGAAGGATAATATTTAATCAATATATCCTCTCCTACTATCCTCAACATTCCAACAATTTTGGTAAGCCTAAGTGTATGCAGCCTGAATCCAGAAGGAACATTGAAAGATAAAGAATTATTTGGCAGTGGCAGCCAGCTGCATCTCTACTTCTTGGGGAACGAATGCTCTGCACAACCTTCCTAGGCCGTTTGATAACAGAAAGAGGTATATTTCAACCTTGAGTCCCCAGATGTTGTTGGATTAGAACTCCCCCCGTCCCCAGCCATCTTGGCCAGTGATTGGGGGGAAGAGCATCATTGCCCCAACAACTGAGGATACAAGGTTGAAGAATGTAATAATAATAATAATAATTTATTTATACCCTGCCCATCTGGCTGGGAAAGCTAAGGAATATTGGGAGATGATATACACAGAAATAAAAAAGATGCTAATGTTGACACACACACACACACACACACACACACACACACACCCTGCCCAGAGATGTTCCCTTTGGCTATAATAGAGGGTGAGATACCTAAGAATGTATTAAATCTGTTTCTTTATGCAACTGCTGCGGCCAGAATAGCCTATGCACAAATGTGGAAGGACAAAAAATGGTCCAACAAAAGAGGATTGCTAGAATAAGTTACAATATCTAGAGTTAGTGATGCTGACTGCAAAGATAAGAAACCAGGATGAGCATACCATAGGAGATGAGTGGGAAAACTTTGCAGATTATTTAAGAATTACAACAGTTATATAAATCCCCAAGTAAGACCAGACGTATGAGCAGCAGCTAAATTAACTAGAAGGAGTGGAAGGGAATGTAGCACAACTAAGAGTCGAAAGGAACCCATGGAGGAAGGTATGGGGAAGTCGAATAATGTAGAAGGATGAAGAAGAATATCGTGAAATGGATGTACCAATGTACTGTAAAAACATAAATAAAATCTTTAAAAAGAAGAATACTGTCACAAAAAGCTGCCATTAGACCTATACTTTTGCGAGCTTTCATGGTAGCAGAAAGGGGGCAGTCCTGAATTCTTATTTTGTTGTTATTCCAGCAGGTTCCATAAAGACAACAGAGAACGTGCCTGTTTAAGGGAAGGGAATTGCAAATGGCAGAGGCCACACAGTGAGACAAACTTTCAGGTGTTCTGATCCCAGGCTGTAGAGGGGAAAACATAAAAAATACATCCAAACCAACACTTTGAACAGGTAGCTAATTGGCAGCCAGCAGCCACACCTTTTCTCTGTAGCACTGGGAAGGAGAGGTAAGGTGCAGTTGAAAAGGAAACAGAAACCAAGTTTTATATGATCTGGCTGGGATCCAAAGCACTTTCAATGGCATTCCACTCGTGCCCATGGGGCTTTTCAGCTCCCCCTTCCAGCAGCAGCCCCCCCTTCCCTACAAGCCAAAGGACCGTGCAAAGCAGCAGGCCGCAAAGAGGGAGGGATTGATACTGCAAAGAAATGCCATTTTTTCTGCATGCGCACAGAAGCTCTCCCTTTTCATGTTTGGGGCATGTTTCCGGTCTCAGTTTCCTATAATTGATTTCTGCGCAAAGTGTGTTCTCCTTCATAGAGAGCATGTGTTGCGGTGGGGTCTGAACAGACCACCCCTCTGTTGCTGGGCGGGTTAGTATGGATGACCATCCGTAGTGATTGGGCGGTTGGGTTGCTGGACAAATTTTGGTGTTGCCATTTAGGGGGACGGACCAAAAGTTATAAAATCAAGTCATGCAGCACTGACTGGGCTCTTTTGCTGCGTGCATCGGATCACCCGCCCACCCACCCTAATCTAGGGCTATTGCATTGACCTTGCTATGCCTGTCATGGGGTCGTCTGCTTTTGGGGCAGGGGCCTGGTAGGAATTTTGTCCATTTGGCTGATTGACTGGTGCCATTTGGTTTTCCGCCTACCAAATCATCACAACTTGTAAAGTTGTGGTTAGGCATTGGTTAAAAAATTGGTTGGTGGAGGGGTAAGCGCCTGCCCCTCCAATGCTGCTGCGGAAAGGGAATTCCATTAAAGGAATCCAGGGGCTTGCCATTCTTTCGTCCGTATCCCTGAATGGGGCTTAGGGCTGTGCAAGCCCCCGGGAACATGCTGGAGGGGGGGATGAGGGCCTGGTGCCCGGCTCCATGCTCTCCCCAATATTGTTTTCTCTCACTGGCTTTTGCTGGAATCCGGAAGTCAGTTCTGCCCCTGGGTGTGGGGACGGATAGTCATAACCAATGCCTAAGCAACCACTCACATTTATGTATTTTAATCAAGTTGTGGCCAAAATTATGCCAAAAACCTTAAGCAAAAATTATGTGTGAATTGTGAATTATTTAGGGGTGGCTTGGGGGACCTCGACACACAAAACTGTTCTATGAGGCAATATCCAGAAGAAGAAGAAGAAGAAGAAGAAGAAGAAGAAGAAGAAGAAGAAGAAGAAGAAGAAGAAATTGTACAACACAAAAACATGCTCATGTTGTGAACTGCACTGAGATCTGTGGATGAAGGTTGGTATATTTTTAAAAGAGTTTCAGGCTAGAGGAAGATTTTGACTCATAGAGGGACATTTGAACCAGGAATATCCATTGTTCTCCTCCGAGTCACTGCCTTTTGCACTTTCCCCTTCCTCAAAACACATTTTCTTATGCCCTCTCCTTTTTGGAGTATCTCTGGTATGGATACTCCAAAAAGGATCCTCCATGGAGAGGAAAAAGTGTGGGAATGCCATGATTTTGAGGAGCACCTCATATGGACAAAGATGGAGTTACAGGAAGCTTTCTATCCCCATTAAGCAACACCTATAGATGACCCCCTAGTTTACAGATGAGTCTGTGCAGTAGACAAAATTAATTCATAATAATAAATCAACTGCTGAGAAACTTACTCGCCCATCACTTGTGAGAAGTATAGAGTCGCTCTTTATATCCCGGTGAATGACTCCTTGGTTGTGCAGATAGGACAGTGCTCTTAGGACAGACAGACAGACAGTAGCAATCTGTTCTTCGTTCATTCTGGAATTTTTAAAAGAAAGCAACACATGGAAACAAATCCTGCTGTAGTGTTTTCATCTGCTTCAACTCCCATCATCCCTGACCACTGGCCACTGGAATGATGGGAGTTGTAGTGCAATGACATCTGGGGACCCATGGTTGAGAAAGGCTGTTCCATTTGATGGGAACAGGAAGGGAACAGGGGCACTAGGGAAGCAAGTCTAGAGTAAGAGACTAGGGTGATGTCTGCTGCTTCCAGGAACTCTTTTTGTTATGAGACTTTTGTGGGTCAGCAGAGAGTTTGTTTGGATCCTGGGTGAGAACTGAGAGACTGAGAGGGAGTGTGTGTCAGAAGGAAAATGAATTGACATTGATTTATATGCATTAGTCACTTTGCATTAATGGACCACTTTAACATGTAACGGTGCAATTTTGTAATATTTAAATTGTCTGTTGTTTTTTAAGCTTTTTATACAGTGCTTAGAAATGTTTTCAACATATTAAGTGGTATAGAAATTAAATAATAATCCATCAATCTAATTTTTATTTTTATTAAATTGTTTTGACATAACATAAATGGGCGGTAGCTCATTTGGTAGATGCTTAATCTCAGAGTTGTGGGTTCAAGTCTCACATTGCGTAAAAGAGTCTTGTACTGCAGGGAGTTGCACTAGACCTCATGGTCCCTTCCAACTCTATGATTCCGTGATTTTATGAACAACTTCGTTAACAGATAAGTTTGAGTTCACACACACACACAAAATTATAATGAGTTGAAAGTTGAGCATAAGGTTCACTCCCCACCCCTTTTCCTCACAGCAACCCTGTGATGTAGATCAGGCTGGCCAAAGGTCCCCCAGTGAGATTCATTGCTGCAAGTGAAGGAATGGGTTTCCCAAATCTAAAATCTGACTGTGCAGTCAGTCTGAAACAGGCCCCAAAATCCCATTTTTCCTTCTCCACTAGCTAAAATGCATTAACTTGAGCACTTGAGCTAAGAACCCAGCTGTATAAACAAAGCTCTCTCCTTTATCAGTCCATGACGCCTAATGAATGGTCTTGTCCATTCCAAAGTGGAGCAGGGATGACACATCTGGGTCTTATCTTACTTCCTGACCACAATGATGCACAGACCTTGTCCGGGAACGGTGCCAGGAGTGTTCTCAGAGTTGGTGACCTCCTGCCCCAAGATAAGAGTATAGGAACAGGAACAACCTTTTATGGTCAGGAATACCGGAACAGGAATATCTGTTTATGGTCATGGATGTCAACTTACGTGTATAAGCTGACGTGGTTGGATTCCTGGGGAAGGGGGGAGAGGGTGCCTGGAGGATATATATACTGCATGAAATTTCTCATTTCTTTGGACTTGTTGTCAACTGACCACGCAAGTGCCTTCTGCTATCCGGAGAGCAGAATAAACTCTTTCTCTGAACCAAACCTCGGTGTCATTTGACTTCCTTTCTCCCTCCCGGGAGCAACACAGACCCCACCAGTCGGTATAGTCTAATAAGGCTACAGAAGTGGGATCTGAATCCTGGTCTCCCAGGTCCTGATCTTAAACTCTTACCATCCCACTGGCAAACACTTGTGAGCACTCAAGACAAGGATGGAGCCAACACTGCTTGTTCAGATTGCCATCGTGAAGACAGGGAGTGCGGGCAGATGAGGACTCCCAACATCTCTTGCCTAATGAATGGTCAGTAGCTAATCTCAACCCTGGCTGTGGTCAAGCCATCAGGCATGATGAACATTTTGCCCACTGTGGCCTCGTGTTAAAGGTAAAGGTAAAGGGACCCCTGACCATTAGGTCCAGTCGTGGCCGACTCTGGGGTTGCGGCGCTCATCTTGCTTTATTGGCCGAGGGAGCCGGCGTACAGCTTCCGGGTCATGTGGCCAGCATGACTAAGCCGCTTCTGGCGAACCAGAGCAGCGCACGGAAACGCCATTTACCTTCCCACTGGAGCGGTACCTATTTATCTACTTGCACTTTGACGTGCTTTCAAACTGCTAGGTTGGCAGGAGCAGGGACCGAGCAACGGGAGCTCACCCCGTCATGGGGATTCAAACCACGACCTTCTGATTGGCAAGTCCTAGGCTCTGTGGTTTAACCCACAGCGCCACCCACTGCAAAGCCTTCAATGAAACCTTAGAGAGATGGCCACAAAATGTTCAAATAACAAGAAAGGAGTGCTTCTAATGAATCCCGGCCCTAATGACAGCACTTAAGAGTTTTCTGAAAGCATCTGTTTGCAATTAAATGCCTGTCAAAATATTTGGCATGGTGACTAACAGTTCAGAAAATAGCTCCTAATGAAAGCTACGAGATATTTTTTTAGCATGTGGGCTGAAGCGGGTCTTTAAAATAGCCACAGCAGAAATGTTACAGAGCAAATGAGATTGTGCCCTGTTTGAGAATCAGCTAGTGTACAGAATTAAGCACACAGACTTCCAAGTTGCTCAGGCACCAGCACATCCATGTTGGAAATCAAGCCTGGCAGACTCCCACACTTCCCTTGTGCAGCATCTTACTGATACATCTGATGGTACAACCAAACTATGTTTAGCAAATTCACAGGTTGCCATGGAAACGACAAGGCAATGAATAGGAATTAGCAGGATAGGATGTACCCAATGTGTATGGCTCCCTCCGACTAGTCTTCCTCTGTTGTTGTTGTTGTTGCTGCTGCTGCTGCTGCTGCTAATGATAGAATGGCATAATGTGTTGACTTAATGCTAATGCCAAATCCTTTCGTTCCTTCTCGCCATTTTACAAACTTTACCTTCCTCTGTATGCTTGCTGATGCTCCATGTACAGGGGTTCAATTCATTGATGTAAAGGTAAAGGACCCCTGGATGGTTAAGTCCAGTCAAAGGCGACTATAGGGCGCGGCGCTCATCTTGCTTTTCAGGCCAAAGGAGCTGGTGTTTGTTCACAGACAGCTTACCAGGTCATGTGGCCAGCATGACTAAACTGGTGCAATGGGACACCGTGATGGAAGCCAGAGAGCATGGAAATGCCGTTTACTTTCCCTCCACAGTGGTACCTATTTATCTACTTGCACTGGTGTGCTTTTGAACTGCTAGGTTGGCAGGAGCTGGGAAAGAGCAACAGGAGCTCACCCCGTCGTGGGGATTCAAAGCACCAACCTTCCGATCAGCAAGCCCAAAAGGCTCGGTGGTTTAGACCACAGCACCACCCATGCCACCCTGATGTAGTGAGATCAAGCCAGTTTCAGCGAATGGCGAAAGCCCTTGCAGGCAGCCAAACCATGGTGCAAACTATCAGATGCCTGGAAGGGTTGTCTTGTCTTAAAATGTACCCATTTCATGCAGCTTACCTGGTGTGAGTCACTATGTCGGTCAAAGCACCACCTTCCAAAAACTCCATAACAACCCACAGCTCATCTCCCACAAGGTAGCTGTTGTACATGTCGACCACGTTCTCGTGATGATAGTCTCTCATTATTACAACCTTCAAGAACAGAAGAGGAGAACCTCTGAATGGTGTGCTAATGGGTTTTTGCGCATCTGTTGTTTTTTAATTCACATAGGTCAAATTGTAAATACATTTTCTTATAAAACAGCAGCCGCAACACACACACACACCTTTAAAAAAGAGTTTTAATGTGAGTTATCAGCAAAATAACATTGAACTAAAACATATTGACCTTGAACTAAAACGAAATCCTTATGTGGAACTGGGCTTTAGGTATATGTTTGGTTGAAGCACACAAATCCTGCCTGGTAACTCTGGACCTTCCCCCAGTGAATTAAAAAAGTGACTTGCAATTTGAAGCAATGAGTTTATGATTGTGTAAAGGGTTCCTGTGCCCACAGCAAATGTGCAGAAGTAGAATTTGAGGCGGGTGCAAGTTGGATTGAATCAAGCTGCTGAAATGCCTCTTCCCTAAACTATGAAAGATGCAACACAGGAGCGCTCTTCTCCTTTGCATCTTACTGGCAAATGGAGAGAGAGAAAGCTTGCCCTGTATAGGCACAACTTGGCTCTCTGAATCATGAATTGTACATTTAAGGAAGGTGGCATGAATGCTTTGGGAAGACAGGGAATGGGAATGGGCTGGTCCCATCTGAGTGGCACTCTATGACCACTGCCAGCACTGCAGCAGATGGTCTGGTGCCAGCATCTACCCTCAGAGAAGAGTGGTAGCATGGGGGCAGAACATGTACTTTGCATGCAAAACGTCCCAGGTTGCATTCCTGGCATCTACTGTAAGGGCAGGGACAGACTGCAAGAAGTGAGGTTACAGGGAACCAGGCAGAGGGCCTTTTTGGTGGTGGCATCCGCCCTGTGGAACAGCCTCCCATCAGATGTCAAGACAATAAACAACTATCTTACTTTTAAAAGACATCTGAAGGCAGCCCTGTTTAGGGAAGTTTTTAATGTTAATGCTTTATTGTGTTTTAATATTCAGTTGGGAGCCGCCCAGAGTGGCCGGGGAAATTATTATTAGACTCCGTTTCTGAAAACCTCAGAGACCCACTCCAGTTAGCGTGGACAATATTGAGATAGATAGATAGAGGAACTGTTGATTGTGTAAGCCGGTGTCCCCAGGACTCTGGAGAGCACCTGGATCTTTTTGGACCTCCTTGCTTTAGCTTCCTGAACGCAACTTTTCCTTCATCGCCTTTGGCAACTTAGGATGAGATTAGCACCTTCTGGGGGCAGTTGCCAATAAGGGCTGTTGAAGGCTCTGTTTCGTTTGGAGCTAAGGAGATAGTGGGTTGGGGGGAATAAATGTTTTTGTTACATAATGATGGGAGAAGGGTGACTAAATCAAAGCAATGGCTTCTGTGTATGAGAGAGAAGTCCTGGTTTCTAGCTAAGCCCTCTGTAAACTTTACATCACACAGACATCCAACAGCTCACAGAGCTGTCTTTCAAGACACATGGATAGAGAATATGCCTTTTAATGATACTTTGTCCAATTCAGTGCCATCCTTAAGACCAATTAGAATTGATGGGCACAATCCGGAGGCACGCTTCCCTCTAATTTTATTTTTATTACGTTTCTAGCCCACCTTTCTTCCAAGGAGCTCAAGGTGTCACGACCAGTTCTCCTCGTTCCCCATGGCTTCCTTAAAGGTAAAGTAAAGGTACTCCTGACCGTTAGGTCCAGTCACGTACGACTCTGGGGTTGTGCGCTCATCTTGCTCTATAGGCCGAGGGAGCCGGCGTTTGTCCGCAGACAGCTTCCGGGTCATTGGTCAGCATGACTAAGCCGCTTCTGGCGAACCAGAGCAGTGCATGGAAATGCTGTTTACCTTCCTGCCGGAACAGTACCTATTTATCTATTTGCACTTTGACGTGCTTTCAAACTGCTACGTTAGCAGGAGCTGGGACAGAGCAACGGGAGCTCACCCCGTCATGGGGATTCGAACCGCCAACCTTCTGATCGGCAAGTCCTAGGCTCTGTGGTTTAACCCACAGCGCCACCCGCATACCACACATGGCTTCCTTACCTCTACTTAAAACCAATGGGCACAATCTAACAGCGTGCTCAAGCCCAGTTGAAATCAGTAGGGTGGAAGCACCTTCCCACACTTCCAAAATGGCGTACCTCATTGAAGAGCAGTTCCCTCCTTTGCTGCTTCCTGAGATCCATCTTCTTCACTGCAACTTGCTTCCCCGTGTGCTTCTCTGTGGCAATGCAAACGATACCAGTGGAGCCTTCCCCGATTTTGATGAAGTTGTCCAGGTACTCCCGAGGGTCACCAGGGCTGACCACCAGCTGCAAGGCTGCTCGGAACTGCTCGTGAGAGACCCGGGAGGGCTGTTGGTCTGAGGAAGAGCCCCAGCTTGGTGGAGGATAAGCACTTGAAGTGATGCTTGGGGAGCTTGGGTAAGAAGCTGTGGAGATGTAATGTGAGCTTGGCTGGAGAGAAGGCTGGTGGTGATAGTGGGAGAATTTGTGATAGACTGCTGGGTACTGGTAGCCACTGCCTGAATACGTGACTTTGCTTTGACTTTGAGGTAGCTTGGTTGGGCCTCGAGGGTAAGTGTCTGACCCAGACAGCGGTGGGCTTACAACCATCTGTGCTCGATCATAATCCAGCTGTGAAAAGAAGCAAGTCAACAGGTAAGCGTGGTTTCACGTACATTGAAAGACCTACATTGGCTCCCGGTACGTTTCCGAGCACAATTCAAAGTGTTGCTGCTGACCTTAAAAGCCCTAAACAGCCTCGGCCCAGTATACCTGAAGAACCGACTCCACCCCCATCATTTAGCCTGGACACTGAGGTCCAGCGCCAAGGGCCTTCTGTTGGTTCCCTAACTGTGAGAAGTGAGGTTACAGGGAACTAAGCAGAGGGCCTTCTCGGTAGTGGCGCCCGCCCTGTGGAATGCCCTCCCACCAGAGGTCAAGGAAATAAACAGCGATCTGAAGACATCTGAAGGCAGCCCTATTTCAGGAAGCTTTTAATGTTTGATATTTTATCGTGTTTTTAATATTCTGTTGGGAGCCACCCAGATGGGCAGAGTATAAATATTATTATTATTATTATTATTATTATTATTATTATTATTATTATTATTATCTTCATTGTGGTCCATAGACCCACAGAACAGTTTCAAAACAAGATACAGTTAAAACAACCAAACAACACGTGAAAGAGACTGACGTAGTAATTTTGTTATGTCTTCTAGAGCATGATGGTCTTTGTTTCTTGCGACCTCTGAAAGAAACTTTGCCACGGTCAGTGTATATTATTATTATTATATTATACTATTAATAATAATAATAATAATAATAATAATAATAATATTTCGAGTGTTTCCCAAATAATGACAGGACGTGATTGCTCTTGTGGCATCTCTCAAGTTGGGCCATCTGAGCTGGCCATCTCCCTACTCAATACATCTCTCAGGAACCAAATGCTGGCCCCTACTAAGTGGGTAGCTTGGTTAGAACCAATTGGTACTTGGCGGTACCAATAATGCCAAGGTTGCAGGTTCGATCCCCACATAGGGCAGCTGCGTATTCCTGCACTGCAGGGAAGGGTCCCTTCCAACTCTACCATCTATGATTATATGCTACTTGTTTCAACCAATACACAGTAATCTCTTTCAATGAAACACCTTATTTCAAGAAGAGTAAATCCCACAGTTCAGTGGTTAGGGAAGGGAGCAACTGATGGCTGCAGCTGGAAGCAACTAGTTGAACTCTGGTGCAGGTAGATTGCAGGCAACTGTCCTTCATAGGGAGGGTCACAGGTTCGTGGACAGCAAATGCTTTGGATACCTAAGATCCCAGGTTGAAACCCTGGCATCTCCAGTTAAAAGGATCTTTGATAGCAAGGGTGGGAAATATTTCTGCCTGTACCCTTGGGGACCATCAGGCAGTTGGCACAGGTGACACTTGGTTAGATGGGCCAGTAATCTGATTTAGAACAAGGCGTCTTCAGATATTACTGATTTCCTGCTTTTCCAAGACGCATATTTCTCTGACTCTAGTTGAGATAATTGCAGCCAATTCTGCAGAAGCCAGATGGAGGGGAGGAACCTGTGGCTGAACTCCAACTTCCACCAACCCTGACCACTGGCCACGTTGGCTGCTGCTGATATTGAGGTCCACTGGCTTCTCATCCTTGGTCTTCAGACATAGTCTTCAGACCATGGGCACAATCCACACAGAAATTGTCCTTCACATGCTGCATTGAACTATCGCAGGTCCCATTCATCTCAAGTTCAGGAGAACTTCCCACTAGATTTCACCCTACATTTGTGTCCTTCTACCATGGGTTGCAGAGCTACTAAACACACATTGTGGGTTGCATAGCTGCTTCCGCAGCACCTGTGCTCTTGTATACTGGAATTGCAAACCTGTGCACAGTTAAGGCAGGTCTCATTGACTTGAACGGGATTTTAGGAGTCCCATTATATACCTTATTCACAGCTCAGGTCTTTACAGTTATTCAACCCTATAGCAGATATGCCAGTCTCAGCACCTTTCTTAACTGGCAAGATCTCCTCATCAGTGGAATGTGACCATATTGTCACTCTCCAGAACTACAGTGACTATTGTCCTATCTGAAGCTGTCTGGGTTTTTCTTGCATTTTTATTCAGCCCAAATCCGGGGTGCTGACTTACCCCCCCACACACACATTGGGGGGGCGGGTGGAATCATGTGATGTCGGGGGGGGGCAGAGGGTGAAAATCACCTTCCATGCCTCCCCCCCCCCACCTGGTAGGCCAGAGTTCGCCCAGCAGGCCAGTGTTCACTCGGCAGCAGCGGGGGATGTCAGTCCCCTCAATATGGGGGGGTCAGCCCCCCGCCTAGAAATATTGAGGGGGCTGAAGCCCCTTCTGCCCTCTATAGTTGGCACCCCTGGTTGAAATCATCTACTGGTAGAATCTGACCCTACAGACCAAATCTTTTTTAAATCCAGTTACCTTTGGGCCAACTCTTTCCAGGCAGAGATCCATGCCTTAACACTCCACATCTGAGCATTTCTGGGCTGGTTCTGCCCCAAAAAAGCTTTCCCCACACCCCCCCCCTTTAAAGCTGAATCAGAGCAAATGTCATTTCAGATCTCCCACAGACTGATGTTTGCTTCGATTGTGAGGTTTTCACAGTGGAAGCTCTAGAGCAGCCTTTCTCAACCTGTGGGTCCCCAGATGTTGTTGAACTACAACTCCCATCACCCCTAGCTAGCAAGGCCAGAACTCAGGGGTTATGGGAGTTGTAGTCCAACAACATCTGGGGACCCACAGGTTGAGAACCGCTGCTCTAGAGCCACAAGAAAAAGGTGTTTGGATACGGAGCTTTAAAGAGCAGACTATGCCTGGAAAGAGTGGAGAAAAGCTTAGTGTGGATAAGACCTTTCCCTTTCATACTGTTAATAGGAAGAAGTTCCTTTCATCTGGCCAGCCACTACTGATTCTAGCTGTCCGTGGTTTGAGCAGAACAGCTGCTGCTGCTGCCCAGTCATTCTGAGAGCAGGAGGGAACACAACACAGTGCAAAGAGCATGTGCCACGTAAATCTCTGATACATTCTCTCCCGCACCCCCTGTAATGAGTGTGAATAACCGTTTCTTGATGGGGTTAGAGGGGATATTATTGCGCAACATTTATTGGCATTCTGAAGCCTGTGAAGCAACACAGTTTCCTATCAAATGAAAGACCCCCGTGACAGATTGATGCAGCAACATCTGTTTGTACAACACACAACCAATTTCACTGACTATTCCCCTTGTTTTACTAGTCAGGAGATGTTTCATACTGCCCACAACAGTTCAGAAATAGCTTAGTTTACAACCCAGTCTTCAGAACAGAAATCCTCCCAACCCCCCTGTGAATTTGCTTCCCTAATTGCAGAATCGTAAGTCTTGGGCTAAGAGGGATTGTATCCTTGTCAAAACTTTGCCTCATCGAAAACTGAACAGTGACAATTGCTGGCATTTTCATGTGCCTAAGGATAACAATTTATCAGAGGCCATACATTAAGTCAGGGGTGGTGGAATCTGCGGCCTTCTAGATGTTGTTGGACTCCAATTCCCATCAGCCTAAGCAAGCATGGCCAATGGTCAGGGATGATGTGAGTTGTAGTCCAAGAGGGCTGCAGGTTCCCTGCTCCTGCATTAAGCTCAAAAAGAATGAAATTGCAATGAGTTGCTTTAGCAGGTTCCTGGAAATGAATGGCGATTTCCATTCTACCACATACTAGATTATCAACTAAAGGTTTCATTGTAGATGTAAAATAATTTGCGATCTGATTAACCTTTGGGACTGAAAAGAACCAGACAAAAGCTAGCTGCTGGATAGCTCAGCCAGTAGAGCAGGAGGCTCTTAATCTCAGGGTTGTGAGTTGTGAGAAGACTCCTGCATTGCATCTATGATTCTAAAATCAAAAGCACGAGGCTACTGAAAGTAGCTGAGTACAGGCCATTTGACGAGAATCAGGCTTAAAATAGCCTTTTAAGATGGCAGATATCTGGTAGGAGAGGATGGGAGTAGAGTCAAGCAACACTTAGAGAGCCCTGGGTTAGCCACTCCTGCCTTATGGGTAAACTGCTGTGATGCCAGTGATTCTGCATGGAGCCTAAATATCCTTGGTTCAAGACATCCTTTGACCTGTTTGGGTGGTCTTAGCACCTCTGAACATTTTAGTTTCTTACTCCACAAAAGGATGTTGTACAGCGGAGGGAAATGCGGACAACAGCAGGTGATACGATCAGGAGGCTGGAACGTCTTTCCTACAAGGGAAGGTGAAAGTTTTCAAGGGAAAGGGAGGGTGTGTGTGTGTGTGTGTGTGTGTGTGTGTGTGTGTGTTTGAAGAATGGTGTTCACAAATAAAACTGAATGGCAGTAGATTCCATTTTGATGAGAGCAAGGACATATTCACCAAGCACATAATTCAATTATGGAATTGGCTGTCATGTGGTGATGACTACTGGTTTAGATGGCTTTAAAAGGGGGAGGATGTTGAACAAGTACACAGAAGACCTAAATGGGGCTTTATGAGGTAATCTGTGCTGGATACCAGTTTCTGTTGAGAGGGGAACAGCTGGAGAGAGGTCTATTGCCTTCATCTCTTCTTGTGGGCTTTCTGGTCAATGTAAGAAACAGGATGCTTGGCTACATGGACCTTCAGTCTGATCCAACATGGCTGTTCTTATGTTCTTCACAGTATGAGCTATAGGTGACTGAAGCTACCAATGGTCCACTGAAATCAGTGCCAATGTTTCAATATGTCATTTCTAAACCTGAATCTATCACAATAGCACAATGAGGAAAGGCCACAGCTCAGTGGTAGAACATCTGATTTGCATGCAGAAGGTCCTAAGGCATCTCCAGGAAGGGCTGCTGTCAGTCAGAAAGGCATTATTGAGCTAGATGGACCATTGGTCTGACCATGTGGACCATACAGCAGCTTTGTATGTTCTTAATACAATGGACCTAGAACTTCCTTGTTCTCAGAAGGTGTTTTAACTCAAGTATTTTATTTATGCTTGATTTAAAAGCTGTTTACCTTAATGCTGTTTTTAAGGTAAATACTTTTCTCTAGGCATATGAAGCTGCCTCCCAGTGGGCGAAATTTGAGTCTGTCTTGCT